ATCATTTGAACATTTCTTTTAAAAATCCTAAAACTGTTTTATATTATTTTCCTCCATATATTCTACTTCTATGAATTCAGCGCAAAAATCCTTGCTCGGGTTCATTAAAATGATATAGAAGGAAATTCAGCTCTGGGGTGGCAATGATTCACTTAACATACATTAAGCTATTAAAAATGATGATGCCAGGATATAATTCTCCCATAGAAACATGCTTAAAATATAGTCAGTGACAAAAGACCATATATCATGATTCTACTTTTTAAAATGTTTACATGCATAAAAAAGTGTAAAAAGGAACCAGAATGTTTTGAGTGGAAAAATTAAAGATTTTTCTCTACATTTTGTCATCCAAATTATTACACAAAGAATGTAATTTCCTTTATAATCAGGGAGAAGTGTTGTTTTCATTTATTTATATTTATATTTCTTTTCTTTTTTTTTCCTTTTTTCTCCTGTATGTATCCCATGTATGCTAGAGACCTTGAATCCTTTCCTCTTGAGGTCAGTCAGCCCATTTTTGGGATGTGCAGTACAAAAAGCTGCCCCATCTTCCATTTATTTTTATTTATTTATTTATTTACGACAGAGTCTTGCTCTGTTGCCTAGGGTGGAGTGAGGTGGTGTGATCTTGGCTCATTGCAACCTCCACCTCCTGGGTTCAAGCGATTCTCCTGCTTCAGCCTCCTGGGTAGCTGGGATTACAGGCACCCACCACCACGCCCGGCTAATTTTTTGTATTTTTAGTAGAGATGGGGTTTCACCATGTTGGCCAGGCTGGTCTCGACCTCCTGACCTCAGGTGATCCACCTGCCTCTGCCTTCCAAAGTGCTGGGATTACATACATGCATGTACCACTGCTCCTGGTCCTTCCTTTTATTTTCCAAGGTCTGGAAACATTTTTATTTTAATGTGTACAAATACATAGTTCTGAAAAATTTTAAATTTAGCTATCTATAAAAGCATATAGCAAAATCCCATTCATAGTCCTATTCTCCCTCCACAGCCAAACACTTTTAATTGGTTTCTTACATATCATTTCAGAATTTATCTTTGCAAATACACAGGTATATACTTATTCTACTCTTCTCTCTCAACACAAAAAGTAGCATACCACACATACGATACCACTCCTTCTTCCTTTTAAAAACACACACAATCTAGCCGAGTTCTTCCACATGAGTGCAGTCTTTCTCATTCTTCTTTTCAGCTGCACGGTATGCATCATTTGGATGGACCACAGTTTACTTAACCAGTTCCTGTTGGCAGACACTGAAATCATCCCTATCATACTATTACAAAAAATAATGCCAAGCACTACCACCTACACACACCAAGTTCATTTCTGAATCTGCCTTTGAGGAAGCCTCTGTTTGAATCACCATAAGGTTGCAAGGCTGAAAAGTTTGCCTCTTTTTTAGTTTTCATTATGTACAGCAGTATGTAGCAAGACTCCCTCGAGCAAAGCAAATGTACTCTTCGGAGATTTCATAAAAATAAATGGATAAACAGAACATTCAGGATAACCATTTCTATTTAACTATGCATATGTATATACAGAGTACATGTATATGCATAGAAAGTATGAAATCCATCAAAGCATTGACCATTGCCTCAGTATGGTGGACCTATGGAGTGCTTTGTAGACCTCCTTGCCTATCAGTTCTTTCTAATTTCATGGCAGTAAATACTCTTGCAATATAAAATTTCAAAAAATGTTAAGTTCAGCTGGATACATTCCTTCAGTCTGTCCTATATTTGTATAGTACTCCCGAGTGCTCAAATATGACTTCATTTAAAAATGTTTATTTATTGTTTCAAATATACAGACAGGCAGGGTCTTGCTCTGTCAACCAGGCTGGTCTTGAACTCCTAGATCCTCCTGGATCCTCCCACCTCCGCCTCTCCAAGTGCTGGTGTTACAAGTGTGAGCCATCATGCCCAGCAGGCTTCATTTGAGAAATCTTTCCCCAGCACTCCATATATTACTAATTATTCCTTTCTTCTTGTTTAGATGGCATTTAGTCATATCTCTATGACCTCACTTGTCACATGATAACCAGTTGCTCACCTATCTGTCTCTCTTGATTGCCCATGAGCTCCTAGAGAAGAGTCTGATTTTCAGCCCCTTGAACAGTGTGTGACACGTACATGCCTCATGCACAGAGAAGTCAAAGATGTCACTACAGTGTCATCATTCCCAGAATTCAATACCTGTATTTCTATGTTGTTCTAGATGCTCTGCCAACAACCTGAGAATGTTATGCTGTTTCCCTAAAACTTCCATCCATTACGGAGTGTCTACAGTCATAGTTAATTATGATATGCCCTCTGGCCAAGCCCGTTCACAGTTTTTTCTTTAGGTGGTTTTTATTTTAATGGTTGATTTTGATTGTTTGCTTTCTGTTTTTTAATCTAGGAGTGTTCAGTAAACTTCACCGTCTCTGTATCTGTGTCCCTGCATCTGCTCTCTGCTCGGAATGAGGCCTCAAACTTATTGGTAAGAATTCCTACTCACCCTTAAAGAATCCGCTTAAATAATACCTTCTCTGTGAAACCTTTATATCCTCCCATTCTTACAGTAGGAATTGAGAATTCCTCAACTCTTGAAACATTTGTGTCTCTATTAGTATGTATCAGGCACTGAAGTAACTGCCAGGATAGAAAGATGAAACTGTAGACCCTGCCCTGATGGAGCTTATGGCCTAGTGTGGAAAACAGCCATATGAACAAATAACCACACTATAATATTAGATGCAATACCAAAAGGGAGATGTATTGAATATTTGATATGTGTCAATTACCTTGTTAGATGCTTTATTAACAATTATCTATGATCATATTAGATACGTATTTGAATTGGACAGAAGGCCATGGAACTCTAGGACTGCTATACTCTCAATTGTCTTCTAAAGAAATTGTCTAAGGGTTCTTTTTGAATACATGACAGTCATATAACTATTGTGCGACTGTGGCATACACAAAAAGCATATCTGTAATACATCTGTGTGACCAATAATGCATAAAACCAACCTTCCTTCTTCTTTTTTTTTTTTTTTTTTTTTTTTGACTATGGAGTCTTGCTCTGTCACCAAGCTAGAGTGCAATAGTACGATCTCAGCTCACTGCAACGTCCGCATCCTGGGTTCAAATGATTCTCCTGCCTCAGCCTCCTGAGTGGCTGGGACTACAGGCACGTACAACCATGCCCAGCTAACTTTTTGTGTGTTTTTAGTAGAGACGGGGTTTCCCCATGTTAGCCAGGATGGTCTCGATCTCTAGACCTCATGATCCACCGGCCTCAACCTCCAAATGTGCTGGGATTACAGGTGTGAGCCACCGAGCCCAGCCAAAACCAACCTTCTTTGGCCACAAGTGACTGGACCAGGGCTCAGTGCTTCAGCTAAGGACAACATATAGGTTGAGCCTCAGGTTGATCAATCACCAAAGACATAACGTGGCTCAAAATTCTCCCTAACAGGGACCTTCTGTTTTTAGAAGGTGACACACTAATCCAATCAGATATTCTCTCTTACAAAATACAAATGTTGGGTGAACAAAGGAAAAGAGGGCAGGTCTTCAGAGCTCAAATCCTATCCTAAACGCTGCTAAATTAATCTTGTGGGAAGTTTTGAAAGTACTAGAGCCAAGAGACAACATGGCTGCTTAGATGACTTCCCATCCAAGTTTGCATTCAGCTGTCATCACCAAATGTGATATGTGTGTGCCTCTTCCTTGCAACCCACCGGTGCCTAACACATCATATCACCACTTCTAAAATTAGGAAACCAGCTGAGAAGTCCAAGAGCTTGACCAGAGTAGCTCCGTTGGTAGGTAGCAGAACCAGAATTCAAAGACCAAGTCAGCATGATTCTTCTACCATATCCTGCCAGTTACATGGGCAAGTGGCCTCAAAATCAACAAAAGAAAAGTAGAGGTTGACATGCGTCAATGAAGAGAGGCTCAAAAGGAAGAGTTTATACACAAGACTAGAGGAGAAATGTTCTGAAAGAATGTCTGGGGATGTGAAGTAGGAGGGGACATACCAGGTTTCACCTTGGTCAAGTGAATCTCTAGTTGCAACCTGGGCCTCTGCCCTGAGCTCCAAACTTAGCTATCTGTCTTTCTTACTGTACTGTAAAATCCACAGGGCAGGACCTTAATCTCTAGCTTGTTCATCACAGATTAAAGCAATCTGCCTTATAGTAAGTGCCTAGTAAATATATGAATGAATAAGTAATTGAACTCTCAAAGAAGCTAAAGAAATATTCCACATTGCTGGGGAAGGGGTTACCATGAAACAGACCCTAGCAGTCACTTACAAATACAGTTAACCCTCATTATTTGTGGATCCCATATTTGCACATTTACTTACTTGCTAAATGTCTTTGTAATCCCCAAATTAATACTTGTGGAGCTTTCAAGGTGGCTCCCGGATATAGACACAATAGTGAAAAATCTGCCACTCCTTGCACACATCCCAAGCTAAGGTCCAATAAGGTGACCCTCAGTCTTCTGGTTTCAGCTCTCACACAAAGATGGCCAGAGGGCAGGGACGGTAGAGGGCAGTGCAGGGTAGTGTAAGAAGCTCGGGCTGGGGCCAGCTGGAGAAGGTCTGAATCTTAACTCTGGCTCCTGTTAGCAGGGCAGCCTCAGGTAAATCACTTAACACTTCTCTACTTTCTTTATTCTTTTGTAAATAAAGAAAATGTACTCTACCAGGAAGAGTTGCTTTAGGAATTAAGGTTATAACCTGTGTGAGATATGTACATAGGTACATATTTTCCCTGGCAACAAGGGTTTAGTATTTGATTAACTCAGTGTTCTAGGCAACTTTATAGAATAGAACTACTGCAAATAATGAGAATTAACCGTAATTGTTTATAAAGAAATAACAGAGATGTAGACAAAACAGTTATGTGAATGAGCTAGAGGCAGGCTTCAAGAAGCTTCTGAAGAAACAGAACTTCACCAGGCACCTAAGTTGTGGAAAAGGCCTGCAAGGAGAGAGAACGGCGCCTACAGAGAGAGATCCAGATGGTGGCAAAAAACAGGCAGGTTCAGGAAACGGCACACGGGGAAGTCTGGCGCAGAAGATGAGGCCAGAACACGGTGCCACGGCTCTCCTCTGCACCCTGTATACAGCCTGTGTTGCAGAACCTCACTCTCTGCATGTCATTCTTGGTTTCTAGTTCTCTCTTCCGTTAAACTCTGAGCCCCTCAAGGTCAAGGTCCCTAAGAAGAAATCATAGCTAGAGTCCTCTAAATTTGCAAACAAGTTATTACTAAACACGAATACACCCAAAAAGACTGTACAAACATAACTTTGGTTTTCAACGCAGTCACAGCAATTCACAGCTGGTACAAATTTGCAGTTTGTCCCGGATTTTTCTCTGATGACTGCTTAACTCTGCCATAAGCTCTTTTCATTGTTTTAGACACCCAGACATTTGTTGGAAGTTTGAAGATCTTGCTCTTTTTAGCGTAACTGATTCATTGGTTGATTGACTGAGATGGAGTTTCATTATGTTACCCAGGCTGGTCTTGAACTCCTAGGTTCAAGCAGTTCTCCTGCCTCAGCCTCCCAAGTGGCTGGGATTACAGGCGCACTCCACTGTGCTGGGCTGTCGTGTGATTTATCCACAGGGCTTAAACATATGGTCCATTAGACAATGTTGCCATGTCAGAGTAAAGGATTCTTTTAATTCACTGTAATAGACTTAGTTCTCTATATGCAAGATACAACTTTACCATAGTAAAATACAAGGAAGCATATATATATATAAAACAAACAGGATAAAGAAAGCAATATAATTTTTTCCACAAAAGCTTGCACAATCCTGGTCAAAACACAGTAAACATGATATTAAACTCACAGCTTACATTTCTCCACTGAGAGCTAGAAAAACAATGCCAGTTTTTGTAAAGTCACAAAACTAAGCACTGTGAGAACGTACAAGATTTTGTGAACTTGTATATTCTCCCCACCCCCACAGACAAGTAGCCAAAGGAGTCTATCAGTCCTACCCCAACACTTCAATCTCCTGCAACCTCCAAAATAAAACTCACTGTCCAATATCTGAATTTATATTTTCAAATGTCTAAAATCTTAATCAAAACTAAGAGCAGTGCATTAGCTTTTCCCCATAAAATTCTTGGTATAACTTTACTTAGGCACAACATAGTTTGTACCATGATCTAAAAACATACGGATAGAACTAACATTACTAGAAATCAAATGAATATACTATGAAGGTGAAAAGGGAATAGGGAGTGAGTGTTGTTTTTAAACAGGTTCAATGTTGTTATTACCCACTCGGGTTGGGTGTGATCAAATCATGTGCAGTACAGCTAAGTATGTCCTATATTTTATGAGAAAGTAGGGTGACAAATTATTTATTGAGGACCTGCTGGGTGCACCGAGGCATGATAGAAGCTGTAAGAGACTTGATTCTTGCCCTCAAGAAACTTCCAAGGTTATCGACTACTCCCAAAACAAATAATGAGCGATGCTCTCTCAAATAGATAGATGATCAAATGTGAAATGGAGGTGAAGATGGGGAAGGCCTTAGGCTCAGAGATTGTGTTCAGGCCTTTATAGGGACATATCTTTGACATAATCATACGCATTTTAAAATAAGTTAAATTCTCATCAGATCATTCTGAAATTTACAGAGGATTTTGTTAGTGAGAAACATATTTTATGTGTAGACCCATAGGTCTATACATATGTATATGACCCATGGGAGTGTATGTATGTGACCTATAGGAATGTTTTTAATGTTAACTGTTAAACACTTCCGTTCACAATATTTCCACCGTTAATGGTCTTTATCTTTTTTGGAGCTGATGTGGAGAAGTCAAGGACCCTGTGCTAATTGCTATTTGATGTTATTCTGTGAGGAGAATTGATTGGCTTTGGGTGGGGGAGAGGGTTGGAAGTTGAAGACCTGAAGGCAGGTCTGAGTCAAGAAATCTTGCCACTGACTTCTGGAAAGTCTGTCGATTCTACCTTTGGAAGTGCCTTTAAATACCTTATGGAAGGCCGGGTATGATGGTTCATGTCTGTAATCCCAGCATTTTGGGAGGCTGAGGTGGCCGGATCACTTGAGGTCAGGAGTTTGAGACCAGCCTGGCCAACATGATAAAACCCTGTCTCTACTAAAAATACAAAAAGTTAGCTGGGTGTGGTGGCGCACACCTGTAGTCACAGCTAGTCAAGAGGCTAAGGCAGGAGAATTGCTTGAACCTCAGAGGTGCAGGTTGCAGTGAGCTAAGATCATGCCACTGCACACCAGCCTGGGTGACAGAGCAAGACCCCATCTGGAAGGAAGGAAGGAAGGAAGGAAGGAAGGAAGGAAGGAAGGAAGGAAATAAAGGAGGGAGGGAGGGAGGAAAGGAGGAAGGAAGGGAAGGAAGGAATGAAGGAAGGAAGGAAGGGAGTGAGGGAAAAAGGAAAAGGAAGGGAGGGAGGAAGGGAGGAAGGGAAAAGGAAGGAAG